GTCATAAATAAGGTAGTGAAAATCGCAGATTTTGGTCATAAATAGGGTGAGGGGTTTGGCAAGTGGACCGCATGCCCACACCCAACTTTTCTGGGAGTAGCCCCCCGCCCCTCCCCCCAGGGCATTAAGGTCATACACGTAGAATACCAGTGGGATATTTCACACACCTTGCATTTTCTCTTGACCAATCTCTTCCAAGCTATCAAAGATGACGTCATCTCCAATGAGGACAAATGGGGCCCAATAAAGGGGATCTCCGAATTTCTCTGAGTGTCTCAAAGTAGCTGTAGCCTGATAGAGAGCCTCACTTGTTTTTTTCCCGAGCTTCAAATGTTGGTAGAAGCTGCGCATGAACTCGATGGTGGCTTCGTCATCGATGGCCCACAGAGAAGCAAGGACGGACCTGGCACCTGCACCAAGAAATGCGCGAGCGATGCCAATAACACCCTCAGCTCGAATGTGGCCTCTTGCACTGTGACAGCAGCTGAGAACAACAAGTTTGGCTCGCACTTTGGCATTCTGTACCTCGGCCATTGTAAGCACAACATCTTCTTCGTCAAGTATTGGTTTACGTTTTTCAGGAGGAGGAGCGAAAGCAATTTCGCCTGTTTGGGGATTTCCGTGGGCTGCAATGTGGACTAAGGCTGCTTTGTCTAGCTCTTCTAGAAAACGAGCTTTTGTCGCTTCCTGTCCGATAAGAGGCTGAACTCCAACCATCTTGGCTATTTCTCGAGCCTCTTTGTTGGCTTGTTCTAGTCTTGTTACTGGCTCTGGTTCTTGTATTCCTTTGAGTTTCACCAAGCCAACGTCTGGATCGCCAACAACCACAGCTCCCTTCTGATTATGATATTCAGATGGACATTCAAAAATTGCTTTCATTATTGACAAGGAGGGCAACACCCGTATTCTGTGTTTCTCTGCTAGACTTTCGTTGTTTTCGTCTCGAAGGGCCGCGAATGGGACCCTGTGAAGTCCCTCGTCAGGAACAATTATGAGATCTTTGGCTGTGTGATCGTGAAATGCGCAGCCCAACAATACATCATAAAGTTTCTCCAGCGCACTTGGTCTATCTGTTGGAGTGATGCGCTTAGAAGGACGGCAACCTGCTTGGTTTTTCTCCAGGTTTTCCAGCTCTTGCAATTGGTCGATATGTTCATTCTCGTTTAAACGTCGAGCTTCCCTTGACAGAAAGGAGCGATCTTCGCATTCCACAGCCTTGCCGTTAACGCCAATTTCAATAATTGCTTCGCCAAGCAGATTCTTCCACTCGGTTGCTTCGCCCATAAACTTGGGATCACCATTCGGCTGAAAGCTCCAGACTATCACATTTTCCGTTCCTTTTCCAGAAAGGGCATAGTATATGATGCGACTTTCTAAACGTGAAACGACCTCACGCATGTTCGTTCCACTGAGGTTTTCCCTTTTGGCTCCTCTTGGGTCTTTTTGGCCGTACGATACCACCATCATGTCAGCGAGAGCCGCCGAACGAGAGTTCTCTGTGACCAGTAGTGCTTCTTCGTCTTTTTCTTGCTGAAGGAGACACTGTGTGGATAGACGGTAAGCGCCGGCCTGTACGTCACTTAAAGAAATCTTGTACGCGAAATCTTGTGATTGCTTGGAGAACTCGGAATTCTCGAGCCGTTACAAAATTGAAAAGGGAAAAAAAACACACACACACCACGAAAGTGAGCGTACTTTGCACCCATGATATCAAAAGGTAATTAAATAGCATACCCGTAACAATAGGGAATAATTTCACTTACGTTTTGTCCAGAAGGTTCGGGAAATTTATTACAATCGACGCGGCTGTAATTTTTTCTTAATGTCACTCGTCACCGTTTGTGTTGTTTAGTTTGTGAGTGTGTCTGTCACTTTTGAACCTATTTTTGTCATTTCACGAAATGATGAATTTAGGGTGTGGACATGAGGCAAAAGGAACTGCTTTACTACGACCCTATGGGCGTTTCTAGCTCTGATAGCTCTGATTTTGGCCACAAGACAAGGTAATAACTTGGAAGTTCGTTAAGCTGCCTTTTTTAGGTTAAAAAAGTGCACCGTTTACTTTTATTTTTTTAATTGCTAGGATATTTTTGAATTGCCAATTGGAAGATAAAACAGTTCTCGATGAAAACGTTTGGAATTTAGTCAGCATTGACCATGGAATACAGAATGATGGACAGAGCTGTGGGGTATTTGTGCTCAAGGTACGTTATGTTCACAATATCCTAAGTGTTTCCACTTATATAAGAGAGATACTAATGCGTTCAGTCGAATTAGTACTCAATACAACCTACAAAGATTCAAATTTCTCTATGTCCTCACCTCTTTCTCTATTACGCGTTTTCATTTCCATATTTGTAGGTAGGGCTTGTAAATTTTCATTATATTACACGAGGCAGATTTGGTGTCGAGTAGTAAAGTAAACAGTTGTCGATGTAAAAGCCCAATTGGCTAAAAACGGCGATGTTTGTTTAGCGCGGGTATTTCGGATGTTTATTTCCGGTATTGCAACTTGCTGTCAATATACGCTCTTTCCAGAAGCAAGAGTGACATTTCATAAATCGATAACTGTCTCTGAAGCTTTCTATATTTCCCTTCAGCCCAGTGGAAAATAGAAAGCTATTCATAACAGGGAAATCAGAGTCGAATAGGGAATTTTTTTTGGTTTGTCTGTTTCTCTACACAGATGGCAGAATGTCTTGCAGAAGAACGGAAGCCAACATTCACCCAGGTATCACTGCCATCAAACAATGTCATTTGTTTCCTTCAGTGCAAGTATAACGGCAATGGGATGTGCATTTAATTTTTTCTTCGTTTGTTTGGTTTTCAACAGAGTCAGACCAAAGACCTTCGCATCCAAATCGCTCACGTTGTAATTCACACACAGGAGTGTATTGAAATTTTCCGCCGGTAAGCACAAGTGACACCCCACATTTGACTCTTTTAATAACTTATCTCCAGGGGTGGGGGGAGGGGTATTTTTATAGTTGTAGTAAGTTATGTTTCTCCAATTGCAGAAAAAACAAAAGAAAACTACCAGAAGAACCTGTCAGACTGTCCAAAATAATTAAGAAAGGCAGTAAAAAGACCTTGGCAAGATCAAATGTAGAAATGAAAGGGAGTGTTTCCTATAAAAGGAGACTGAGACGAAAATCCAAACTGAAGGTACATTAATAATTCACCTGGACTTTCAATGAGGTCATTCACAACCATCAATCTATTAAACTAGCAAGAGTTTGGCACGTTTCATATCTTGCAGAGAAAATTTCACTCGGGGGAGTGGATCCTACAGAAACCATCAAAAGGAAACGATACATTGGTACGTATCGCGAAAGAAGACGAGAATAATTGGAATTCCCTTGAAATCCTTCTTTCTCTACCAAACATGCAACAAGACAATTGAAAAGAAACAGAAAACGAACTCGAAACCTTTTGGATAACATGCAAAACCCATAATAGTAGCTTTTCTTTGTAACTAAAAAAGTGTGAACTTGGGATACCAGAGGATAGTTTTTTGTTTAGCAACATGTCATGCCTGGCATTAAGTACACAGGGCTGCTAAAGTATACCTCATGATACAAATCTTCTGTCCTCGTAGTTCAGTTATTTTGGTGCAAAAGAAACTTACAATTTCCTCATGCTAGCGACACACGGAGGCCAATTTTAAAAGCGTTTAGGTATATTGAATTTATTTCCTTTGCAGAAAAAGACCCTCCCTCCTGACAACAGTGGAACGACAAAAGCGGCCACGAATGATTCGTCGACGGTTGGCCGTATTTAATCATTTTTGATTGGTTAGAAGAAAAGAGAAATTAAAAAACAACTGTTAATGATTCAAAAAGTTTATTCTTCATTTAGTTTAAATTATTATCTTTAGCTTTACTTTCATGACTGTAAAGCGATATAGAGCTTTGTATATACTCGCTATTTAAATTAAAATTATTATTATTANCTACAAGAGAAGACTTTCCGTGTGAGACTACAATATCAGGCCTCGATCATGACACATACGATATCTGACCCCACGCCTTTCGCGTGACAAAACTTTTAAATTCTAAACTAATGGCAGCACTCTGCTTATTGTAGTTTCCTTCGCGTTACTTCTAGCTATCCAAGATTTGAGGGAGTTGTACAAAGAAACAAAGAAACAAGAAACAACAACAAAATGCCATTACCGCGGCTTCTTCGAGAAATAATGCTCGCTGCGGCCGGATTTCCGAAAAGGAACAAGCGTTAATGACGCGTGAGATAATTTTTTTAAACTAAACTCCCCCCTTTCCCCCCGTAATGGTAGCTTTTCTTTGTAACTAAGAAAAGTGTGAACTTGGGATACCAGCGGATAGTTTTTTGTTTAGCAGCGTGTCATGCCTGACATTGAGTACACGGGGTTGCTAAAGTATACTACATGATAAAAAATCTTCTGTCCTCGTAGTTCAGTTATTTTGGTGCAAAAGAAACTTACAATTTCCCCATGCTAGCGACACACGGAGGCCAACTTTAAATGCGCTTAGGTATATTGAATTGATTTCCTTTCAGAAAAAGACCCTCCCTCCTGACAACAGTGGAACGACAAAAGCGGCCACGAATGATTCGTCGACGGTTGGCGGTATTTAATCATTTTTGATTGGTTAGAAGAAAAGAGAAATTAAAAAATAACTGTTAATGATTCAAAAAGTTTATACTTAATTTAGTTAAAATTATTATCTTTAGCTTTACTTTCATGACTGTAAGGCGATATAGAGCTTTGTATATACTCGCTATATAAATTAAAATTGTTATTATTATTGTTGTTGTTATTATTATTATTATTATTATTATTATTAAAACGCGCACAGGCTGTAGGTGGGAGTTTGTGTACATTGGTCTAAAATGCATACAGAAATTAGTCGACAAGCTACTTAGTCCGGTCGATCTTCCTCTGCTAGCAAAAATGGTATCTTGGAGGAAGGAATGTGACCTCCCTCTCACGAAAACCCGCTAGTTATGGAGCTAAATTAGGAAAGCACGTTTTAGTGAGAACCAAAAAGTGATCAGAAAAGTAAAGAAATATCCATTTTCATACGGTAGTGTTTTCTTGAAACTAATGCAAAAACTCTGCAAACATCCTAGGTGGAAAACCT